CCAGATCTGTCCCTTTTTTGCACTTGTCTGCATTTCTGAAATGTCTTTTTCTAGTGCACTCCCAGGCTCTCCAGTGCACTATGGCTTATGTTTTTCAGCTATTCTCTTTCCCTTTAAAAATCTACATTTTTTTTGTTTTCTTGATACCTAAACTTCCCATAAGCTCATAAATATTTTGTCAGCAGTTATTGCATTCCTTGCATTTTACTTAATGATGCTTTTATATATCTTTTTCTATTTTATGTTGCTTACTTCTTCTGACATTCTTTTCACTTTCCTTTTCTCTCTGTCAGAGCTCAGAGTTTTCAAATGCTTGCCCCCATATTTTTAGGAGGGTTTTGTTTTCTTTCAGTACCTTTTCAGGCACTTATTTGTGGCTTCTTCAATATTTTCACAGCTTTAGTCACGATGCCCAAAGAAACCTCTTGTGTTAACCTCACAGCTTCTAAAAATTACCAAATGCTATATTTTAAATTCTTTTTACAGTAGGTAGAGAGATTGTCAGGTAGGAAATCAATGAATAATAACAGATGGTGCAGAACAGTGGAAGTATCACGTGTAGCTATATCTCATGCTGGGTCTAAGCTTATTTATTGTGAAACTCATCAGTGCTACCCTTGTTTACTTACTATGTCACTCCCACGGTTTCTGCAATCATAATAAAACAAGAAATAATGTGTATGTTCAATTTAAAATATATACATTGCAAAAAAAATTAGGAAGGATATAAATTTATGCCTTAGTTTAACTTTATTATAGGTAGAAATCTTTTGTTGCAGTTGTTGTTTTAGTATTTGACTTGAAATCAATGTCATGGAGTATATGTTTTGCTATATAAAGTTTTATCATGATAGCATTTTCAAACTATTTTTTTCCCCTGGGGGCTTAAGAGAGAAAAAGTTCAAATCAAAGACAGGTTGCAGATTTTTAAAAAATGGAATTTATACTTCTTTTTGTTTTGTTTGTTCATATAATATTTACATATGTGATTTTTAAACTATATTCTGTTCTTTTGGAGTTTATGCAAATTATGAGGTATTTCATAGTATTCATGGTTCATAGAATGATAGATTTACACTTATAAAGGTTATCAAAAGTCATCCTACTCCAATCCCTAATTTTACAGATGAGGAAGCTAAGACATAATCAGGTTAACTGGCATATCTAAGGCCATACAGATAGAAAGTAGCAGATCTGGATTAAACCCAGATCCTCTCCCCCAACATTCTTCCCACAGAACAATATATGTACAGGCTTCTTTTTTTTTTTGTAAATGGAAATCATCAAAAATTAAAATTGAAATAGGAATATACCAATGCACATGAAATAATTTAATAGTCATATGGAAAAATAAAATAAAAATAAAAGAGAGGAGAGTGAAGTGTATGTTTTTAAAAAGTGATTTCAAGTTATTTGGTTGTAACATAGCATCTATACCAAAATTTAAAAAAAAACCTCAAGGATTTTGATATTTTTGTACTAAAATTATCTGAAACAATGTGGAATAAGTTTTAAAAACACTTTTATATTTTGGCAAATGGAAATATGGGCCCCTTTAACTGAACTACATATATTCATGCTATTACTAAGAAGGAATCTCTTAAGTTCTGAGACCGTTTTGGTGGTCCTGGAGAGGAGAGTCTGGAAAACCTATATCTACTTGGTAAGTGTTTCTCCCTTCCTTTATTCCTTACCAAGAAGGGTATTGAACCAATAAAGCCATCTCTCCTTAGCTCTTCATGTAAATTTTTGGACAAGATAGATTCTTTTCACTTTGAAAGGTTTTTTTCCCCCCTTATTTCTATGTTCACACAGAACCAACAAGTATTTGTTGAGCACCTACTTTGCGCTGAGCACTGTACTAAAGGCAATGGGATGACAAAGATATCATTCCCTTCTATAAAAAAGCCAACAATGAAATTCAAAACAAGGTAACAAATATTTATAGTTATCCCACATCATATATATCTAATCTTCTTGTTATGTTTTTTGAGGGCAGAATGTGCATGTCTTTGTATCTTCTGCAGTGCCTATCACAAAAGTTTATATAAGAGAGATGCTGAATATATTTTTGTTGAGCAAATAGTACGTGGCACTCAGCTAAACATTGAAAATTCATTTGTTTGACTTAATAAGTTTATACATTTTCTCAGCTGTTATAGATAGCAATGGGTACTATGCAGAATCTTTATTGTAGCGAATTTCTTTGGGATCATTTACAATTTTTTATTTAATTTCATCCATACCTACAACTTACAACGGTAGACACATACAGGTGTAATGGAAAAGGAAATGAGCATGATAATTATGTAGTAAATAGGGAGAATGCAGAGGAAATATATGTTGATGCATTTTGCTTTTCTTCAGCAGAGCAGTATTTTACATAAAGGGGAGTCATTTTATTGAATAATAAAAGCCTGACAATCACTTTCATTGGCTAAGAGCCATTACTGCAGTGTAATTCTAAATAGATTTGTTTGGAAAGTTCTTCATAAATAGCTCTTTACAAGCCAGACTCTATACAACCTACTGGAAAGTTCAAAATTCCTTGCTTAAAAAGTGTTGTCTCTCCCCATATTTTAATGACTCTATAGCAAAATATTGTAGGAAGTCGAAGGGGAAAAAATTTGGAAAAACATTCTATAAATTATTGTTTTTAATCTTACTGATCAGAGTAAGGAAGTTTTTCACTGAGAACAAGGGAAATTGCCAAGAGGTTCACAGCAAAATACTGAAGAAGAGTAGTTCTCGAGTCATGGAGAAAAAGGACAAAGTATAACAATAAATCTTAAAAAATGAGATATGAGTGCTCTGAAAACGCAGTTGAGCTATACCAACAGTTGTTATAAAGCCACTAAAAACCCTTGATGCATTTAATTCCCCTTCAGTCAAGATCTCAAGCTGCAATTCTTAATTCCAAGGTGGGGATAAGCATAGGAAGAGCTGGCAAGCATTTAATAAATATTTAGTGATCTTTTAATAATTTTAATCCGTTTTATTTAAATTGTGGATTAATACTTTATTAGGCCAATGAATTCTGACCAGACTATCAGAGGCAGATAGTATTTGCTTTTGAAGCTCTTTGTAATGTGTACTTAGCTTTCATTACACTATCCATTCTATCAGGAACATCTCCATTTGTATCATTACCGTAAAGATCAGCAATTGAGGTCTCTGACGGGTGATTTGTGAACTCCAGTCCCTTCATTCCTTCATCCTCATACCTATGGTCATTCCATTGATTCCCGCAACCCCACCCCAAGCTATATGAGATGGCCCAAGTGTACTTTTAACAATGTATAAAAGAGTTGTGCGTTCAGCCCAGGATCCTGCCCCTGATCAAGCAGCGAATAGAAAATCTCCAAGCTGTCAACTATTGGCTGATTGTATATTCTATCTGGTTATCAATTGAAAACAAAGTAAACTGATACGAAATTCGGATCCTAAAGCGCTGCAGGCAGTCAGCTACGCAGCCTGGTGGTGGGATCCTGCTCTTACCTAGCCTTCCAGCTGAACTGTTTTAGTACCTGAGCTCCAAGCCGTAGCTTTCCTTCCTCTCTCCAATGCCAAGTACTGCCTATCTTCCTGCATCACACACAATGGGATCACTAGTTGGACTGGAGCTCTTTCCACTTTAAACCACAGCTACCCACCCCAGGAAGAGTTGGGAAGGACTATCTGGAGAATTTAACCCCATACAAATATCAAGACCAACAAAACAACCACCTCCACCCCAACCACTCCCACCTCCATCCTCCAAAGAAACTAAAACAAAAACCTCCACCCTGTCACCAACAACCCGCAAAATAAACCCAGGCATTTAATGCAATGGATTTTCTGCAAGATATTTTATTTTTTCTTGCAAACTGAAAGCATTTCTCCCCACTGTTGTCCCAGGGAGGAAAGCCGTCTGTACTGGTTTCGATCAATACTTTGGGCCCCCCCGGCTGATCACACAACGCCCAAAGCATCTCCCTGGACGTGTATCCATCCTTGCGTGCCGGGAGGGGGAAACACAAAGCTGGGGACTAGTGAGAAAGACAAATCAGGATCCACTCCGGTAAGGAAGCTTCCTCAGCAGGAAGGGGAAATGGGGAGGTAGACCGGGCGGGTCGGGGTAAGGCCGGGGGGCAGAAGAGTAGGAAATCAATGATACAGTTAAAACTCAAACTTAAGGAAGGGAGGGGGAGAAGGTGGGAACTTCTCTCCCCAACCCTCCGGAATAAAAATAAATAAATAAATGAAAACACCACCACCAAGTTTGAGGTGAGCAGCAAGTTGTGGCACCTCCTCGCTCCCTCTTTATCCACCCCTCCATCACACACACACACACACACACACACACACACACACACACACAGATGCGCACACATACAGAGCGGTGGTAGCATCAGCAGATGCTGTGTGTGTCTCCTCTCCTGGCTTGGCTCAGCCCCGCTCTGCTCCCTCTCTCCTCTCTCCTCTCTCCTCTCTCTTCTCTCGTTTCTCTCTCTCTCCCTTCTCCCTCTCCCCGGCGCCCTGTCTTGTGCGTGTGCGTGTGTGTGCGTGTGTGTGTGTGTGTGTGTGTCTGTGTGTGTGTGTGTGCTCGGCTTCAGCGTGAGGGGCACCTGCTTGTCTGGGCTGCACAGCAGAGGCTGCCGCGGCTGTGGCTCGTGCGAGCTGCCCCCTCTGCTGCTGCTGCTGCTGTTGCTGCCGCTGCCGCCGCCGCTCCCGGGGCTCCCGGCGCCAGCCTCCTCTCCGCTGCCGCCGCTGCCGCTGCCGTGCGAGTGAGTTGGGATCGGTGGGGCTTCCCCCCTTCTCTGCCTTGCTCCTTCCCCGCCTGCCTGCGAGTCAGCCTGGCTCCGAGTCACGTGTCAGTGCCTGAGGCAGAGACTGAGAGGAAAAAAAAGCGCTTCATTCCTTCTTCCACCGCCATACTGTATTTTATACTAAATCTCATTTTTATTCCAACATTTTACTCCCGCTCGGTGAGTACCTTCTCAGTGGCATTCTTGTCCTCTCTTTTTTTTTTTTGTCCTTTTTTTTTTTGGTTTTGTTTTTTTGGTTTTTTCTTCTTCTTTTTTTTTCCACCTCTGATTATTGTTTAAATTGGGAAACCTGGAGGAGCATGGTTTTGAGCCTTTTCCTAAATACAAGTTTTTATAGCATGCGATGGTATTGTAGACAAGGCGCTGTGTCTGGGAGTCAGTGGCCACTGTGCCGCTGGGAGAGACTCCCAAGTCCAGCAAAATATGCAACTGGTTTTATGGAAAAACGATGTGAAGTGTAATGCCTATTTTTTCCATGTTAAAAAAGCATGTTTCTAACTCTTTTTGCAGACTATTTTTTCCGATGTTATTTTTGTATAGGTGGGATTTGCGAATGCATTTTACGGCAGTGTTTACAAGTTTGTGGTCTTGCAATACTGGTGCAAGCCACTGAGCACAAGACGTTAATTTTATTTTTGTTTCCTTTTTGAAGATGACAACAAACCGTTTTTTCCCCCTTCCGTTTTTGATGTCCTTTTATAATGTGAAACTTTTCTTGCAGCCGGTTACTGGGATCATTTTTTAAGCAAAATACTTTTTCCCCCCTTTAAATTCACCATGACTTTTGCACATTTCACTTTTTTATTAAAAAAAAACCGAGATAATTTTATGATAGATATCCCTATATCTATTTAATCCCTCCTTCCTCTCCCCCCCCCCCCCCCCATAAATTTTCAAATGATGGCAGTGGAAGGTTTTTCTGGAAAAAAAAAAGAAGTGCGGTTTGGTTTCCTTGTCAACGGAAGATGAAGTGAACAACTGAGCATCTCCCAGTGCAGGTACTTCATCTCCTTGTAGGCGTTTCCACTGTTTGTAATGACAATACTAGTCAAGGGAAAGAAATGTGTGTGTGTATGTGTATGTGTGTTTCCACGCACATGTAAGTAGAGACTAAGCAAGCTTTCGAGAAAGCCCTTGTCTGCAAGCCAGTGGAGGCAAAACTAAATTCTACTGCCTCCGGATCGTGTCGGATGTGCGCAAAATACAATTCCTTCCCCTCCTTCCATTGAGCCCAGGTCGTCTAGACTGCGTGTGGTTTATGTGCTACTGTAGAGGGCTGGTTGGAAAAAGAGGATTGCCAAGCTGGCGATGTAAGTTCTGTTTAGGGACACTTTTAGAGCAAAAAAGAATTCGGGCTGTGGATAAGAAATCAGACGTAGGGCTGCGCAGGGATGGCCCATTTGGGGAATACTGGAAATGGAGAGAAAGAGGCAGCAGCAGTCTTTCAGAGAGGGGCTGGCTTTTTGCCACACGGGGACCTGAAGCTTGAGACATTTTCTAGAACCTTAAGGATGCTCCCCTCGCCCCAACCCCCATAACTCCTGCTTCTCCTTTTTTACAATGGGTGAAAAACGAAGAAGGTCTTCCTCATCGTGCTTTGGCCTCTCCTAAAGCTTTGTTTCATATTTTTTTTTGTGCTTGTGTTTTGTTTTGATGATTATTAATGCTACTGTCTGCCAGGGGATAGGGAAGAAGTTACTTTCCATGACGGTCACCTAGAGTTCAATATTGAGGAATAATCTGTTACTTTGCATTGATGATACTTAACTGCTGAACAGTTCCAAGATAGTCCTTCATTTAAAGAGGCAGTATTTAGATCCCCCCCACAGCAGGAGAATGTGGTGTAAAAAGCTTTCTGCTAAGAGTTTGTTTAGAGGGTAATACATTTCAGGATTTTATAAAAGTTGAAGTCTTGAGTGTTGGATATATTCTATGAGGTTTATGCTTTCTTATGACGGTATTGCTCAACTTCTCCTATATAACATAATGCCACTTTTCAGAGATTTATCAGTTAGTCATAAAAGCCTTCTCTGCACTCAAAACTTAGAATCTCTGCTAGGGAGCTCTTTATCTTAAAGGAATTGAGGGGAGGAAGAGATTTTCTATATTTTAAAAACCGAGGGGATAATTTTATAGGAATTCAGCTGCCTGATGCATTTTTTTCTGTGTATAGGTGAACATTAATTTTTTTTCCCTTACCTAGAAAGTTCTGATACAGATTCTGCAGTTTGGAATCATGCTTCTGGTTAAATTGAAGGTGATACACATACAGTCAGTAGAATTCCAGATGTTTATTCCTCAGGTTAGATTTTCTTCTGGGATACCTATACTGTAGAGTAACTTGACATTCAGCTGTGCTTTCAGAAGACAAAGCTTAATGATTTATGTAAAGCAATGATGTTATATTTCGTTTGTAATCTGTTTGTGGAATTTTTAAATCCTGTACATACTTTTTAATAATTTTAATAGTAAAGACTTTGTAGATGGTTTGTGGAATTTTTAAATCCTGTACATACTTTTTAATAATTTTAATAGTAAAGACTTTGTAGATGCAACTGCCCCATTATTTTCCACAGATATTTAAAACATATTTTAAAATATTCTGAAAGCTATAAGTTCAAATACACTTAGATGTCAAAGATTTTAGAAAAAAAGTCAAGCATTTTGAAAATTTAGCCTAGTTCTCATTTAAAATTAGTCCCTTTGCATTTACATAAGGAAGATATTTTATGACTTGGATTGCCATATTTTAATATACTGAGGTACATAAGCATAAAAGAGCTCAGAATAAACATTATCAATTCAACTTTAAAGTTTTCATCTTCTGTATATACACATATATGTATATGTGTATATATGTATAACAGAGAGAATTTGTTATTAAAATGCAATGTTTTGTAATGTCCAAATAATTGAAGATATAAAAAAACTACAATAGATCAGTCACTCAACTGTTTTTATTACTTATATGTTTCCTGAGATAATGCTTTTTAATTTACATTTTATTATTATATTTTGAATCAAGGTAGATAATGTGGTTATATGTAATGACACATATTTGTAGTATGAGTGGACTTCTAGTCATCTCATTCTTGTTCTGAATGCTGAAAGTTATCAAAACTGAGTATCCACCAAGAGCAATAGTTTATTCCAAGGTAGCAATAAAACACTAGCAATTCTAATGTTTCCAAGTGAGACTGTAACTATGAAGAAGCAAATAGAAATTATTTTATTCTATTAATGTATTTCCAAAGTGGGTGGCTGTGTTTATGGCTGTAATATGTATCATCATGAGATTTCAATCATGTTATATTTATCATGGTTTCATTGTATATGCATCCATGTACTATTCATACCTATCTCACTCATTACAACATTTTTAATTCTAAATATTTCTTTTTATAGATTGGAATTTTAAAAAATTCTTTTCAATTTAGTAAAGTAGGCAGTATTGATATTTTCATCTATTTTATAAGTTTTCTGGTCTTTTGATCTTGTAAACTGAAACCCTTGAATTAGCACCACCTACTGGTTACTAGTAGAAGCATTTATCCATTTAGCAAAATTATGCCATTTTGATCAAATCACTAGATTCTTATGTATTTTCTTATAAGGGAAATAGTTATTTTAACATAATTAATTAAAATGGCCATTACTGAGGCCAGTGACCATCTTGATAAATATTAGTGTTGTCTTTTGATATTTTTCACTGTATCTCAATGATAGCAAAAAGCTGAGGACAGCTTCAAAACCCTTTACTCTTTTTCAGTGTTCTGTAATCACAAATATGAAGATCTTTGAAATACATAAGAAAAGTAATTGAATTTTTAAAATTCTATTCTAGTTTTTGGGGAGTCATGTAGACAAATATTCCCAGTAAGAGGAAAGATACGCTAAACTATTCTCTACTTTTCTTAAAGTGTTTTATGAATTAAGCATCCCCCTCCCATTACTGGAGAGAATATAAAACATTTTTGAATATGTTCTATTTTATTTTCACATCAGAGTCAGAAGTGCCTTATTTAGAAATATTGCTTTTTTATTTATCACCTGTTCACAGTTTAAAAGTTGCTGTTCAGACTGTACCACCTAGTATCTTCACTAAGGAAAAAAATAAACTTTAATAAGGAGATGTACACACTTAAACATACACATATGTCTGGTAATTTTATGTATTTGGAACTTTAGGGAATATCTTGCCCTTTAAGAAAGCTAAGTCATTTCAGAAGACTAGTAGTAGAGCTACTGCATTAAGATAATTAAATCCTTCAATTAAAATAGTTTTAAATGAGGTAAGTGGAAAATGCACCCTTCTTAAAATAGGTTCATTTCCTAAGAATTCTAAATCCTATGGACTAGAATTAAAGTTACTGTAAATCCCAAAATTAAAAATTTTACTATTGATTTAATATTATTTCAGTAATAGTTTATTAAGCTAAATTAGTAATTTACTAATGCATCTATAATCAATGTTCCAAGAGTTTATGATGAAATCAAGCACCATCAATCCCAAAGTCCATTCTCTTGAAAACTGTCAACTTGAAAGATTACAAAAAAGCATGGGGGGGGGGGAACTGATAAATAGAAGTATGTATAGAAAGATTTTTACATATGTAATGATAGCCATCTCTAGGGTGGGGAGGGGGGAGAAAAAAGGATAAAAAAGAAAGTTAGATAATAACTTCATTATATATTTAAAAGAACTAGCAAGTTGTACAAAATAGATTTAAAGTTTCACATCAAATCTTTTTTTATTCTTGAATGTTTTATTTCATAAATAAAATTTAAAAAAAAGAAAGACTGCAGAAAAGGATGGTCATACTTTGTTTATTGTTTAGTGACTATGAAAGTACCTAATTAGGTAGTATATCAAATAAACTTGCATACTAACCATTGTATAGAAACCATCACATCAGAATTAGGAGGGAAAAGAAGTTTGTATTTATAGTTGTTTCTATAATAAAATAATATTGAAAGTAGTTTTAGATTATTTGGAATTCATTTTTTCTTTACTTTTTCATTCTTGAAACCTTTTATTAAATCTGGAAATTCTTAGCAGCAAAAATGCAATTGTATCTTTACTTCTTAAATTTATGCCATTACTTCTTTGACACTTTTTAAAAAATACTTTCAGTATTGCAGCATTAAAATATTTAATTATTTTGCCTTAATTTGTTGAGTTTTTCGTGTAATAATATAGTATGGCTTTTATTTTTAATTTTTAAATTTTCATTTAAAATTTTTTTGGTGGGGGGCATATTTAATTTGGGGTCATTTCTTTCAAAAATGCACAAATTTGAATTTTGGTTCACTCCTTATTCCAGAAATCTTTTCAAAATCAGATTCTTTGATTCATTTAATCACTATTTAGCAATTATAAAAGGCAAAATTGCATTTTAAATTAGTTGTCAAGTTTGAAATCAGATGTACAATTAATTTGTCATGCTAAAATTTGCCCCTGTAAAATAAAAGAAAATCCATTAATAAGATAGTTGTAACTATCCTAAAGTTAGCATCATATTATTTTAAATAATTCTTAAAAGATTTTTCTAAGAAATGTCTTTGAGGAAAAAAAATATATAGAACTGTAAGAAACAAATAATAAAATTGATCTATACATATATATTATCTATCTGTGACTTCAGTTGGTTTTCATTTGTATCCTCACAAAAGCTTTTGTGTTTTGGTAGTACTTTTACTTTAGACTTTAGAAATAATAATGATAAGAACAACAATAATACATCTTCTAAATATTTGTAGTGGCTAACATTGTATTTAACTTTAAGGTTTATCAAGTACCTTACACTGCATTATCAGGGCTATTCTTCTCCTTGTTTTGCAAATGAAGAAATTGAGCACAGTTGGTCATAGAACTTGTGCCAGACTTACCCTCATCCCAGAAGCTGGACAGTTATCATTCTCCATTGAGGGATAATATAGAGGGATAGATAGACAGACAGACAGATAGATAGATGATAGATTGTATATATGTCTATAT